TTAACAGTTTTAAATTGCTACTTGTTCACATCCAGTGCATTTAAGACTAACTTTTTAACGCATTTCAGCAAGCCAGACATAATTTATTACTGTGGCATCTGAACTCGATTTTCCTAATACAATTTGCCTACGGTCCGAATGTTTTGTGTAGGTAATCGTTTGCGTTGATCCCATGAACATGTGCTGCCCCGGATTCGAAAACTGTGCAAAGCTCACCAAATAATTTAATGATGAATGACGGTTCCATGTTGACCATGTTGGTGATCTTTTACGGATTGAAAAGGGATAATTCGCAAGGACTTTGATTCTAAGGGACAGTTGATGAACTCCATATTTTATGTGGATGTGAAGGGCAGATTTCTTGAGACAATTCAGGGCATTAGGTCGGAAAAGATTCAATCGGTTAATCGATTTCTTCTGCATGACAGTGTGTTATCACACAATTTTATTCCTGTCAAGAAACTTCTAGCAAAGAAAAGTATAATAATTCTCAAACACCTTCCTTATTCCCGAGGTTTGGTTCCTGTCGATTATGTTCTTATCTTTATAGTGACAGCTTTTTCAAAGGTTATAATTTTAATAACGTTAATGAGATTTGAGTAGTCTAAATATGAGGTTCTAAAATATTTTAACGTGCTAAGTGTTGTACAGGCTTGCAAGGTTTGTATATTGAAGGATGAGGAGTAGGTACAAAACACTTAGTCTAAAATTTTGTAGGAGCATTGTTTATGTTGTTAAGTACGTTAAATGGTCATATTTGTGATGAAACCTTCATACGGATATAAAGCAGAATAAATGCCCCAAAAAGAAATACTTTGTTATAAGAGAGTAAAAATGAAGTTTATGCTACACAATCTTTCGATAGCTTTTAATGACACGCAAACTTCAATATTTAAAGCTAGAAACCTGTTACTGGACGCTTAAATAAAAGTTTGTTTTTCTCATTTATTCCATATGTTTGGTTTAAATAAAAATAACGTTTTATTTGTTATACTTTTCTATAAATAGTATAGGTTACCTAAATCATATCAGAGTGATTATTTTGTGTTTTTTGTTTCCTTAAATACGAGTGAAATGAGTCAAAATGCACTTTCAAGTTAAACTAAACTTGTTTCGATCGATTTTATCGATTCCCATTTTTCGAAAAAGTTCCATTTCTAGTTTATTAGCAACTATTTGTCGGAAATTTTTAAGTGTGAAGCATACTAAAATAAAAATTAAAAGGAAAAAACTATTTTCATGTACTAATATACATGAACAGATTTTAAGCTATGCAATTATAGACAGTAATAAAGAAGTGGGGACCGAACACATAATTCTGCTAGATTGTTAAATTAAAGTGATGCAGCAATATCCATTGTTAGCAAGATCAATGATGATGATGATGATGCTAGCGGAAACATTTAAGAAAATTGCCCTCCTCTGTGGGCAATTTCACCCCAGAACGTCCATTTTATTCTTCATTTTCGATATTCTGTTTCATGATGGAGCATTTTTACGATGAAAAGCCTCTCCCATGGGCCAGATTTGATCGTTACTATAAGGAGCGTTCAACTTTGGACTTTACCATTGTAACATTTATACAAAAGTATCGTTAGTTTTAAATTTTCTTTTCATTATCTATCATCTTATGCAGCATATCTAGATAGATCAATCTGATGTGATTTTCTAATTTAAATAATAATGAAAATTATTAAAGTACTTTTTGTAGAACTCTCAGTTTTTTTTCCCGAAGCAGGAAGACTGAAAAAGCATGCCTTCGTCGGGATTCGAACCACGGATTTTCCAGCTGCGAGCTGGATATGCTAACTATTACTATACTACGAGAGCACATACAAGGTAATTCGATTACTCCTTAAAAATGACTTGTATGATTTATTAAAGAAAGACAAAAAAAAAGCTTTTCAGATCAATTAATGCTTGAAAAATCCTTTTTCTTTTTTTCTTAGAACATATGTCTGTCGGTATTAAATGTTAGGATTATTCACAGTTTTATAACTTATGAATGTAAATATTTAGTAATATTTTCATGAGAGAAAACTTTAGTTACATTGTAAATGAAAATAGACATAAATATATAGATTGAAACCTGAAGAAAAAAAACTTAATGATAATATTGTTGTATTGAAATATAATGTTTATTTCATTCTTTCTTAAAGTCTAATTTTATTTCTACTGAATCTTTTAACCCTTTTTTGTGCATTAAATATTTCTCTAAAATTTTTCAATGAATTTCATTAAATTAGTCTCTATTTTTTAACTAATTAAATTAGTCTAAAAATAAATAAAGAAACAATGTTTCTCATTTCAACATTATTTGCTTTTGAATATATAAATGGTTCTTCAAAAATAGTTATTAATCACACTCTGCAAATTCTGTGCTGAAAACTGTGCAACACATTGCTTGTATTTAATCAAAATGTAATAAGTAATTTAGAAAGTGAAATTTTATTAAATTGTAAAAAAATATTTAGAATTTTTTATCACTAGAGAAATTTTCGTCCCGTTCAGTTGAAAATATTTTTGTTTCAAATACTTTGTTTCTTATTTTAAAAACTTAAAGACAACTTGAAGTACGTTTCTGAGATGAATATTTAAGGTAATAAGAACAGTATCTTCCTTTTTGGAGCACTTTGTGCAGTATATCGTTATGTCTTACCTATGCGATCAGAATACGGCTGAAGAATTCTTTGAATGTCTTCTCTAAAACGAGATTGATATTAATGGGGATGAAAACAATGTTTCTGTGAAATACAAGCTGCGTATTTAAAATTTTATTAAACAATCTTAATAAATATACAAATGACTAACGAAGTAATATTTCCGCATCAAAGGCACACCTGCGTGAAACTAAAATAGGGTAATTTAATACTAAACCAAACTTCTATGCCTGAATCAAGATTTATTTAAACACTGGGGGAGTGTTCTAGTTCTAAATCGGATAAGAATTTCTCTTTATTATCATGAAACTTTTGTTGAAGGAAATACATAAAAGCATGTAAAAGTAATGAAAATTTAACTAATTTCGAAAGAAATTATTAAAAGTTTTGAAATAATAGCAGAGACTATAAGGTTGTTTTAAAATGCAGAAGCATGCAAAATCAGCTTCGCTTTAGCTGGAAGTAACCTTAGCACTTACACTACGACAGCACCCCGAAGGTAAACCATAGTTTATGATAGATTGAACTGAAGTAATATAATGTATTTAAACTTCATAAAAGAAGAACTAATCTTAAGCTATTATTACTGTAAACTGGAAAAAAAAAATTCATTTATTAGGAACTGACTATTGCTGGTATCGTAACACAAAACTAACCTGACGGTAAAGACTTTAATACCTTAACATTTGCGGGAGAACAAAAGATTTGCTACCGCAAACATAATTTCATCTCAAACTTTGTGAAATATCACACTAGAGGGAAATTTGCCATAACGCTTCAGAAGTCACTGAATCGATATGCATGGCACTCGAGAAAATTTATTCTGCTCTGCAGCTAGCAAATTTCCCTCTAAATGCCTTTAGCGCTGACACCTGCTGATAGAATAAAACAATTACGTTACGTGCATGAACTGTTCCCTTTTCTGATTAAGGTAAACAGCTATGGAGATAAAGTCGAGTGTAGAAATTTAGGAACATTGTCAAAACGGTATGATTTGGTAGCCGTAACGCGACAGAAGCCGTTTTAGAGAAGATTTGTGAAACCGAATTTCATTGTAGTGTATATCTATTCCTATAATTTCTATGCATATGAGTTAAATTATAATAATATGAAGCATTTTTTATTCGTGTGCTTGATAATTTTAATGAGATTGAACTCCAAGTATCCAGTCCCAGATAAAAGGTTATCATTTTTTTCTATTAACCAAACTTACATAATGCATGTACAAGTTCGTAGAAAATCGAAAATTTAAGGAAGAAAAATGTTTGCGTTTTAGCTTCAAATAAGCAAATGTCTCATATTTATGCAACGCTTGATATATTCATTTACTTTAGCGTTTTTAATCAATGCAGTTATTCATGAACCTGAAAAAAAAAATAGTATTTTACTGCTTTGTAAAAATTTTAAACTTTTCTACGCTCTACAGAAACCTTCCCTTTTATCCCGGCAAAATAAAACTAACTTATCTTTTGATTTCTATTTACACCACACTCAGTTATGAGTGTCATATTGTTTTTTAGTAGGAGTAAAATAAAATCTAAAAAAAGGAGTAAAATAAAATCGGAAAAATAATTTCTTTTTTTTAAAAACTGTAAAAATTTTTCATTTGAATGAAGAATAACACAGTAAATTATGGATGAGAGAACGATGATTTTTGTTTACTCTTAATCTATAGGCGGAATAAAGTCATTTTTAAATTTTTTTTCCATGTGTGCAATGTTGTATAAACATGCATAACAGCCGATGGTCTCTGTGATGAAATTTTTCTCTCAATAAGAAAGTTATTTTTACGTAAGCTATTAGCTTACTAGAAATCGTGTATAAAAATATTCATGTGATTTTTGTTTCAGTTCATATGTAACTGAAGAGCCACATACATAGATCCACACACTTATCTTTAAATAATTTGATTAATTCTCATGTGATACAATCTTTGTTATTAGTTAAATACGAACTGTTTTCTCCACTGCAAGCTTTAAGTATTACTCAACGATGATACGGATATGTATACATATCCGTATCATCGTTGAGTAATAGTCAAGACAGATAGATAACATTTTGCAAATGTACTTTTTTTTTGTCTTGATAATCGATACTTCTTTTAAAAATAATATTATGGCAATATGTCATAGAAACGGAATTTATTAATTTGACGATGGTTATCATATGCCCCATTTTTTTAAATTTATTATATGCATAGTCTAGTTAAAAACTAAAATTAATGATCGCTAAAAATACCTTTCGTAATATCGCTTATATCATAGCATGCTTTCGAAATTGTATTTTGGCGGCACTTATGTGGAAGAGATTGCAGAAATAATTCATTCTTTCAATCAACAGGTTGTGGAATGCCTTGTCCTCAGCACAGTACTTGCCAGCAAGAAACCAACTGCAAGTGCCCTCCAGGGTATATTCCTCCAACCTGCACAGGTAGAGCAGTAATAAAAATTCTTTACAATTTAATAATTTTACTTTAGATCATCAGTAAGCGTTATAATCATAATAAGGCTGCGGTCGTTTTCGATCATCATCTTTATCTACTCATCCTAAAGATTAGATGTGCTTTAAGAACGGAAAGAGTATTTAGATATTTAACAAGGCATTCAAAAGAAGAACAGGTTTTAAAAATAGAACTGGTGTTAATAATTTCTTTGCGGTTAATAATTTCTTTATTTCTTACAACCACTACAAATGTCGGAAAACATTTTTAATAATACCTATTACTTCAATTTCAAATCAAGTATTTCAACCTTCACAAATGTTTTAAATGATGCCTGCTTCTAAATGTGCTCTGGGCCATACGCTTTTTATTTTCCCTTTTCAAACTTTCACTCTTCAAACACGCCAAAAAATTAATTAGGAATTATTTAACACTATTACGAGTTTAACACTATTAATATGATAGTTAATTAATTCTATGCCGTATTCTTTTCAAAAGATTTAATTATAAATAATGCATCGGAAAGTTTCTTAAAATAATGTTTGACGCAGCGGCTGCACTCAGTGAACTGAATAACTGCACACAGCAATTTATGCTCACTCTAAAAAATAAAACGCAACAATAAAAATTTACTGAGATGTTATTGTTTTAAATTATTGGATCATTCTAAAACTTCAAGGGTCGTACACCAAACTGTAGACTGAAATGTCTGAAATTTGCACGTAACTAATAAGAATTAAATATCAGAACTGGAAAACGTTTTGGACGTGAAGAGACTACATGACGATCAGTAGTAGACAGATTGTCGTGCTGGGTTTGGTCAGTACACGTTTATAAAAAAAAGGTTTTATTCACAGACTGGTATAGAATTTGTGCTCCAGAGAACAAGTGGAAAGTTTCGAGTATTCCGTAACCAATTTGTAATATTACTTGCATAACGAAAATAAAAACAAATATTTCTAGTCCAATGATTTTCTTGAATGGCTATTAGATTATGAACCCATAGGAATACAGTTATAAATTGCTTGTGTGAAAATACTTTCGCCATACCAAATGTAGCAGAATTGCAAAAAAAGAATTTTTCACACTAATTATGATGTTATCTAATTTAATACAGCTACAGAGGCAATGTTTCATCCATCCTTTGCACATGTTCTTTCTCTGTATTGTTTATTAAGTATTCATCTAACAATTTTTTTGAAGATGTCAAACTGCAAATGCAAAGGAATTGCTCTGAAAATTACTCTCTAAATATATTTAAAGAGTTCTTCTAAAACTTTGAAATAACTAAGAAGAAATTCAGTTATACAGAAAAATTTTCGAAAAGAAAGGATTTTTCGTTTAATTTAAAGTTCTGCCGGAAGTATTCGAAAACTTAAAACTCCGTTATTATAGAAGACTCTAATTTAGCTTCGTGCTTAATTATTATATGATTATGGAAACATTGCAGAACAAAGATATTCTAATACAGCGTAATATATGAGCATTTCGTGCAATAAGACATAACATGCATGTAGTTTTCAGGAACAATTCAAAAATCATTTAAATTGTGATAAAAGCCTTTGATTAAAACATTTGATTTTGAATTTATACTGATGTTCAAATATAACCTAGAAAGTAATGTTGACTTTTCCACCAAATTCCCCCAAATGTAGTTATTTACGTAAATTACGTATTTGTTTAAAAGGCTGGTAGTATCCTTCAGCAGCTAGTAGTGCTCAAATAACCAGATCTATTCCTTATCAAAGGGTTCATGAGGATAGTGTATATACAAAAAGATCAAACAATCTGCGTTTACACAAATAAGCGCTGAAGCCAACGACATTTTAGGTGGTGTCTTCTTCCACGACAAGATATTCATGCTCGACTACTGTTCACGGATGAGTCCAAATTCAGTGAATATTTATATTTGATTTATTTTCCTCCAGAGAAATTCTTGACATTCACTTTCTATAGCATATCCATGAAAGACATTGTTTTCGTAGTAGTAGTTTAAGAGAAATAATGAAATACGATGGCACCAAGCCTTCCTCATCAATCACAGAGGTTTTATATTCTCCCAAAAATATAAATATGAGGTTCTTTGTTCTCAAGTAAGGCTGCTTAGGTTCTGCTGTGGGCCCATATATTTTGTTCATGGATGACAATGCTCGACTTCATTGAGCTGCTCTATTAGTTGAATACCTTGTAACTGAAGCTATCGCTCGAGTGGAAGCCTGACTATGTGTATGTCCAGGATATCTTATGTCATCACACAGAACATGTATAGGATATCCTATGTCAGTCCGCTGCGGCATTCAGATCCTTTTTAAGAGGCTAGAGGAGTTCAGACCTATTTTCTTAGAAGTGAAGCATTTGATCTCATACTACTTAAAAGGTTTTTCAGTTATAAGTAAAATTATATGGCCTTTTTCTATTAAAATTATGTGCTTAAATTCATGTGGCTGTTCTGAGTTAATGCAGTATAACTTTAGTTTGAAACAAATTCCAAATTTCTGCGAAAAGTCTAAAAAAAGGTTTTCTTGTCTGAAATCATGATACAGCTTGTGGAACGTTTTATTAAAATTATTATGATGATGATTTTGCGCGAGGATTGTTATATCATTCTAAATTACAGTTACCCAATTAGTTCTTTGGAAACGTTAGCTCTCTGGCGGTATCAAACATGAGGGTCAGGGCTGATGATTTTAATGTGGTACCAATATTTCAGTTCCCGCATCGAATAGTGAAAACATTGAATTCATTGGTATTTATCTGCACATAAAAAACAAGTTGTTCTTTAATGTACAAGAAAAGTAAAATTATTTTAGTGCAAACCACAGCATTAATACAATCTGCAGCTTTTACAGTTACTAATTTGTTTTATACGAATAGGTATGCCCAAGGCCTATGCTTTTGACTATGATAAAATTAACGTACGTAGGATAAATGATTAGCTGTTAGTTGTTGTCACATTTCATTTGTCTGACGTATTCAGAACAAACCCACGAATATTATCGTGACACGGAACGCAATTTTTGCGCCTAACGTTTGGCATGAGCCTTTAGTACCTTATAGGTGATAGAACGTCTTCTGCTCAGTTCCGCCCTAATTTTAGAAAAGCGCACCCTCGATAATGGGTCCGAGAGTGTCCTAGCCTTTTCTCTTTACCCCAAAACCACACCAGAAGACTTTCACCTCGCCATGTATTTAGAGTTTCTCTATTCCGCAAAGATACTATACGTTTACAAAGCCTTCTCCGGGCTTCGAACCTAGGCTCTTTGGTACGGTATTTAGTCACTAACTTCTATCCCGTTGGGCGACATTAACTATTAATGTTTTTCTCAAACTGATCTGGATATTTTAAAGCTTGGAGTGAATTGCATCGAAAATGTCTAGAACTCTCTCTGTTTGAACATGTGCATTCGTCTTTTAAATTCTAAAAATTGTTCATACATCAATATTACATCAAACATTCAGTTTTTATGCATTTTTAACGCTCTGAGTGTCACAGCGTTTTAGGCTGCTGTAGTATTCAAACAGCTTTTGTTAGCTAAATTTGCGTAATTACTTATTTTAGTTTCTGTTTTTCATAAATTTATATTTTTAAGATAATATTTACATCGTTAAAGAAAGTAAGGAAATAAAATAAATTGAATTATATGCTATATATACCAAATAACAAGAAATCTCATGACCAGGTAAAGGCTCTTGTGACACACAGGGGGTAACTTTAAATTCCATTTAAAGTGGAATTTAAAAACTACATTTCCCTTAGTTTGAACGTCAAACAAAAATTGTGTACATTTGTTTTGAATTCAGATACCGAAGCTAAAGGATGACGAATATATATATTTTTCATTTAAACATGTACGCAACATGTAGTGTTCATGCATTTCATCTAAATATTTGCATCCTTCTCTTTGTTTCAGCTTTGTGTAAGCCTCAATGCCTGAATGGTGGCGAATGTGTTGCGCCGAACAAATGTCGGTGCAAATCTGGTTACGTTGGAAAATCATGCCATAAAGGTAATAATCAGTTTCCATTCTAACAGATAAAAATAAATAATTTTTCACTAAAAGTTTCAAACGATTTAAATTATTCTTAAGATTAAAAAAATATAAAAATTTATAAAGATTTAAGTATAATCTTATCTGAAAAACGATTTTTAACAAAATAGTTATTTAAGACCTATAAATTTTTAAGAAATAAACCCCAGAAATTAAACATAAATTTATATATTTAAAATGAGCTATTCAAAATAGCAATACTCAATGGTCGTGGGGAAGGAAGGAAAAAAAAAGATGTTTTTAGCTTCACTTTTTTTTTCTAAAAAGATTAGTAACTGTTTCATAAATTAATGCCTTTGAGAAAAGTCTTACTGAAGATATAGTTTTCATCTCTTTTTCGCTAGACTACTCGCGCTCTAGGTAAAAATATGGTAAAAATATTTTCTGCAAATGAAGTAGCGATAATTCTTATTTTATCACGTCTTAAACTGCATTTAACGAAAAAAATACGGTACGTAAGGTCTTCTTTTGGGGGTGTCAAAAACTGAAATCGGCTTCCCCCTCCCAGTGAGAAATATTTATTTGTGCGTATTTTATGCAAATTAAACAAGAAATATGAACATTTTGAATCCTGCAAAGCGAAATTTTCTGAAATACAGATAACTGATTGAATAAGAATAAAACGCAATTCAAAATATGCTTAATTTTAAAAGTTCAGTTGTTTGGTATTTTTGATTCAGGAACTTTAAAAATTCTGTATTCAGAAGTTTTGGAAGCAAAAAAGGTGCAAATAGGAAAGTATCAAAATATCACTCGAGATACATATACTTGAATTACAGTTTTATTATATACTTGAATTACAGTTAAAAACTGTAAAAAAAGCATTATCAAAGTGAAACATCGCGATATGTATGCAGTCAAACACATATCAATCACCACGTATATCAATGGATGCTCATTCACCGGATATTTTAATCGATGGTCACTCAATCGACGCTCATTCACCGTAAACCTTTTCTCTGATTTCGATAGGAAAAAACATTAGAATAAATTAATTACATAAGTGGTAGCGTTACGCAAAATATAAGGCTAAGCCTGAAATCAAGACAAAACTCAACTGTCGATGCAAAACGTATCCATCCATATAATATTTCTTAATGTGTTAGAGATAATTGCGAAGACCGCACATGCGTTGAGTAGAAGGAATGCATTAAACCATACCACCAAACCCATGGTGACAAACTCGAAATGACCAATGAAATGAACATGGTACTAGCTTAAAAATGCGGCTATATTCAGTATGCAGGCCATGTATTTTGCTGCTTTTTCGTACCAAAGAGAGCAAGATAGACCGTCGATATTGATGTCACTGGAGAGTGACTTTTTGTTTTAAGCTTTGGTTTTTCCTATTTTCGACCTGTCGTTGTAGTTAGCATTTCCATAAAAAAGTGTCTTTACAGACAAAACCTTTATCAAAATATACAAAAAAATACCGTCTTTTTAAATGTATGTATCTTAATGCCCCGAGATGAAAACATAAAAGTTTATTTTGAAACTAATGAGAACATATTCGATTAAGAAGGATGTAATTTTAAAATTTCAAATTCCAAATAGCGTATGTTCACGAATACCAGGCGCCACCGAATATGACGCGCACTCGATTTTTTTAATGCATCAAAAATGAAAAATATGTTGGCCAATATGGCACGGATATTTTCGTCAAGCCCACTAAAAGCTTAATGTACAGAAAAAAAATCTTTTTTTTTTTTTTTTTTTTTTTTTTTTTTTTTTTTTTTGCGAGTATAAAGAAACAAAGAAATATAATACCGATGGACGGTTATAGCGAAAGAAATCTGGGCTACCACCTGCAGCTTTTGCAGCTCCTAAGTGCGTAGCAGCCACATACCCAGTAACATTTTAGTGAGAAGGAATAAATCGGTTAGCAGAATTTCATCGGGCATCGCACTTCATAAAAAAAGTCGCAAATGTTCATATCATCTTTCTGATCTCTTAAGAACAAGCCTCGCTTTGTGTTTCTTTATTTCCAGTTTCCAGTCAAACTACCATACTTTCTTCTGTTGTAGCGATATAGACAATGAAGAAGCACATGTTTTGCTTTACCTTACGATAACAGTTTTTTTTTCTCCAATCGTTGTAACTTCAACTATATACAAGCAGACACTGGCTCTGAAATGACAAAAACAACTCCCGCCCCCACTTTTGTCTTGGAACTGGTTTTGTGTACAGGAATTTTTTCTTCCTTATTAACTGAGCTCCACTGCTCTTGCCAATGTTATGACTAAGAAGCCACGTTCGGCAAAAACCATTCATAGAATAACAGTTTGGTGAAAGTGCCGGTATATCCTCTACAAATCCTTGGCTAGGATTTATTATTTGAGAGGGTTTAGTAGCATGATATAACGTTATATTTTCTGGGGATATCGTATCTTCAAAAAGAAGCTTCGATTTTTCCGATTAAAATTATCAAAAAAAAAAAAAAAAAAAAAAAAAAAACCCTGTTCATGGTATTCGTGAACATACGGTATTTGTGATATTAAACAAACAAAAAATTTTTTTATACATTTAACTAATTAAAAGTTAAATTCAAGCCTATAACTCAGTAACCATATTCCAGTATTCATTCGTTATATATCATTTGTGATGACTGTACTGGACAACACGGAACAGAAGACCGCTATCTATAGATTACTAGAGATTTTACGTTTAATAAAAGATTTTATTTCCGATGCAGATCATAATGCACATACTCCATGGTGTTAGAAAGTTAGTTAATCATAGTGCATACCCTATAGGGTTAGCAATATCTTTCTCAATTAAATAAACATTACTCACATTTTTCTGAGTAATTTTACTAGAAATGTAGATTGTTTTCATATCATTCGATTCATTTCGCTGATGAATATAGTTCAATTGCGATTCGGTTTATAATCACTTTTATAGCATGTAGAAAATAAATGAAAGGTTTTCAAGAATTCTTTTTTCTTTTTTAAAAAATACTAAATTTTCCGTTCCACTTTGCAAAACAACATGCGATGCCTCTTGCTAAGGACTGACTGATTTTCTTTTATACGAAATGTAAGAAACGCATTTTAGTTTTCAAAGATAACACTATTAAGTTTATTGTAAGATTTGTTTGAAGCATACTAATTTTGTTTTTGTGTTTTACAGCCATCTGTTTGCAAGGGTGCAAGAATGGAGGAGAATGCGTCGCACCCAATAAATGTGCATGCAGGTCTGGCTTCACCGGAAAAGACTGCGGTCAACGTAAGTAGAAAATAAGTGCATAAATAATTTGGCTGGTTTACATGCAAATAATGTTTTGTTATTTAGGATATAAATATAATATGATAATTATATTCTTGAGGAAAATCTTGCTATTCGAAATTATGTTATATGATACTGAGAAATCATACAGCAATTTTGCACCAGCAATCTGCATGAGAGGACATGTGAACTTGCAAATCAAGTGCTATAGCTCCCTGAATCAATGTACTAGTAGAGACTAGAGAGCCACTATTAAATATTAGAACTGTGTTTTTGACGTTCCTTTTTACCTACTGCTTAAGTTAGGCGCTATGCATAGATATGGACAACAGTACTATAATCCGTTATTTTAAGATAAGTACTTTAAAGTCACTTCCAGCTTGTATCATGGTAACGTCTGCTGCGGATGATGGTCGAGACTTCTAAAATTTGTTAAAATTTCTTAGCCTCTACTCTGAGCTGCTAGGACACACATTACGATCGTAAACAAGGAAAGGGTCGGTATGATTTTGAAGTGCCCATTATAAAATAGCAGAGTATATATTTATAAAATAGCAGAGCATTATTTCCATTTTTGATTACAGGAAAATTATAGTATATCGTAACTATGGATTATGCTTTAACCCTTTCGAGACGGCTTGCCTTTGTTTAAGACTTTTCCTCGGAACGGATGGGAGTCGAAAAGAATCATTGCAGAGGATAAGGGTTTTGCATCCGCTAAACCTAACTGTAGAAAACAATCACAAAAGAAAGGTTTACGTCCTAAAATCATAATTTTTGGTACTGTTTTATATTATTACTCACTCTATCATATAGGTTAAAATTAGCGTTTAATAATCTTTTTCCTTTACTTTACACGAAAATATATTAAAAAATTGCTTACTTCGCGAAATAATTTCCAGAAGTGTTATTCTAATTATTCCAAAAATTTAAATGATAAAATATATTAATAAACATTTAAATTAATAAAAAATACGGGAAGAAATAAAAATATCTTTCACGTGAACTGGAAGGCAGACACTCAGCGAACTTTAGTCTCTGACAAAATGTCCATATGAGAATCACTTGAAATAACGCTCTCTTTAGAAAATGACTCATCCCTCAGTCACTCACATTCATGTCACTAACTGGCTCAGCTTGATAAATAATAGTTGCTCACCGTAATAAACTGAAATGAAGGCCTTCCGAAATAAAAAGGGAAGTACGCGAAATATAAGCGATCAAAGCAATACAAAGCGTAATAGATCCCCACATAGTTACCCTAACAATACAAAGCGTAATAGATCCCTACATAGCCCTACTATGTAGGGTCAAGCGGGCCCTTTTCCCGCACATCAGACGAGCAGATTGACTTTTTGTTTCTGTAGGTATTAATGATCATACAGCTGTATCACAAATCTTAGCTGAAGAATTACAGTGTGTTGCACAGCCACTACTTCCTAGCATATGGTCTATAGTCGTCAGCAACAAAGGGGGATTTTTACAAATCGGAATCATAAAACTGCTTCGGCTAAGAGTGAATAGGATTACATCGTCCTTTCATATGAACTCCATTTAGGTCCGCAGTACCATGATGATTGCATCGTGTCCGTTTGGCAGAACTATGTCTCATCGAATGAGGGCTGCGTGATTCATCACCATGTCGGTCGGGCTTCTGGCTTCATGATATGCCGTAACGCTAGATATTGCTCGCTAGTTTTATCAGGACATTATATAATCACCGTTACATCTCTGAGGTATTAGAAGTTCTTGTTTTCTCGTACCTTGAAGGCCCGTAAGGGGCAATGGGACAGTGCCCCACAGTATTATCAGTCAGGCAAATTCCTTCTGTATGTGGCACTCAACTTCCAACAATTCTTGCTTTCCCCTCGCGTTCACCACATCTATGGCCTAACCACGTCTCGCTCCGGGCCGTAGAAAAGGCTCTTATCGACGTAACAGGGTATTCCTTATCGACCGTAGAACAGGGTGCTTCTCCTGGAAGTTCACAACCTTCGCCAAGCTGATTCGCCAAGATCAAAAATAATTTTCAAAATGTCGGCTGTTATTTGATGGAAGAGCAATGAATCAGTCAAATTTCGAATACAAGAAACAGCAATTAAAAATGAGATAAATATAAATCAAATATTACGTTTAGTCTTTTTCTTTAACTTCAGGCCATAATTTCTAAAAAAATTAATGCACTTTGAAAACGCAGACTAAAGGTTGCCTATATTGTTTTCCCCATTTAAATTCGGCAAAAAATTCAAATGAATATGAAACTTGCCGATGATAATGCTTTATTTTTCACAAATATTCAGTTTTCAAAGCGTTCGTACTTTGAGAAGCAATTATTCCTACAAGTCTATATCAGTCAAGGATGCTTCTCGTCTTTTAATGTTTTAATATCTAAAAATAATCTCAATTATCTACCCATTTATATTGAATTTCCAAATTTTAATGAAATAAGTATCAGGACGAAGTGGAAGCCTTCATTTTCACGAAGGATCTCTCGCAGTTCCTCTCGCAGCATTCACTAAGCTTCCGTCAAAGACATGAAAATATGTACCCCTGGTCCAGCACGATATTTCCTGTGATTAATCAGTGGTTTGACTGAATGTGGACTCATCTCTGAAGAAAATGATTCTTTTCTAACGCTAATTCGATGTTCTACGCATCGAGATAAGCGGACTATTCTGTGTGCAGAAGTGACTGGGATGCTAACTAGAGATCTTATAGCCTTATGTTCTCAGTTTTAGGATTTTCAATTCATTTTTATGGACAACAACGCTCACCCACATAGGTCTAGTGGATAACTTTTCTGGAAAGTGAGGTTTTTAACTGGAAGAATATGCCAATCAGATCTCCAGATTTAAACTCTATAAAACATGTTTGGAACGCTCTTCGGTGAGCAATTACAACTCAATTTTCCCCTTTTAGAACAATCTAGGATCTGGAAACAACGTTGCTGAGGCAGTAGTACTGATTGCCAAAGAAAGACATAAACTACTTATTTCCAGTATGAAATCACGTTGTGACAGCTGATTGTTAGAGGAGACCATATCTCCTCTTAAGATTATGTTTTTATTCGATCTTGCAACCTTTGTTTTAGACACTTCTGAGCTGATGAGTCTAATGTGGGATCATGCATGTGCACTATGATCGTTCTATGTTATATATTGCTTTATTGTGTGTCTTTACCCATACCAAATTGTTTTAAAAGTATAATTTTAGAAATAATTGATGAAATGAAAAAATTCTCTTAATGTTAAACGTCAGTGCATTTCTAATTCATCTCGGATTGGAATGTGCAGTAGCCTTTAACAAAGGATCTAACTAACTTCTCGCCAGAAAGTTTTATAGAAAAAAATATTTATAAAAACTAAAGTAACCTAAAACAAAGCATATATGTTAAACAATGAGCATTAGAAAGCTAATTCGTTATTCAGATGCAATTGACTTACGTAAAATGTGCCTGCAGTAATTCATTAAACTAAAAATATAGAACTTTTTGAAAAATGTAGCTGGTGCATACTTATTCAAATGACTGAGAGCTTATGAGTCTTTGAAAAAACACGTTTGAAACTACTTTGTAACAAGCAACACAACTACCTGATAAAGGGAGAAAAAGAAAGGAAGATGAAATATTGCCTACTTTTGACATTGTTTAAATATGTAAAATAAACATACATGAGATAAAATTCTAATTTTAATTTTCTATAACCCCTTAACTCTTCTTTTTAATTGGTTACTTTTCTTTCCTATCCTGAAACTAGTAATATGCTTGTAATAAACCTTTTATAAATTGCGTCATTTAAAATTATTCCTTATATTTTCATGAGCGTTATATAAATCTAATATTATTCTCATGTAATGTTCGTAGCGCACGTACTTAAATAAATATGAGCTCAAAGTTTTACAAGAACTCTTAACCAACTAATAGAAATAAAGTGGAAGCATGGCTTCACTATTCTTAATCTAGCATCCGTATTTTAATCGCCTCTCGTGCATATTTACCTCCTTCCAACTTATATACATAGGTAATGTCTTCGTTTCAAAAATTTCGTAGCTTGTTTTCAGTGAATAAACACTAAACGGGAACCCCGCAACAGTTTTTTACTATTTTTGAAATCACGTCTGTCTGTCCGTGTGTATGAATGTGACGCTTATTTCGTACAAACTAAATTTTATATGAAACTCCCCAAAATTTCCATTTTCCATGTTTAGGCTTTCTGAATATTCATATAAAGTGTTGATTAGATTTTATGTAAAATTGGACAAACGAACTGGTATTTTACCTGAAGTCTGGAAAAAGCTTGTTCACATTAGCGGGACTTCTTTGAGCCTAAGAAACAAGTATGAATTTGATGGCTCCGTTATAGGCTCAAAAAGCAGTCGCTGTTTTCAACCTCCCACCATACATAGGAAGTAATGATCCAGAAAAATCGATAGTGAGTTGTCTGTGGTTCAGACGTCCATAAAAATATATTATGAGATAATCCAAAACTGCAGAAATCTTATGATTAACTACATATGAGAAACTATTTTAAACTAGATACGAGATTGAGAAAAACATAACACATTTATAAGCAATAAAAGTACGAGTATTATCGGAATATGCCAAACGAACAAGAAAAAGCTGGATTATGAAGAACTCCCTTTATGAAGCAATTAAATGTATTAGCCTCAATCCTCAGTTTTGCATTCGTTTCACTTTTGTATCTAATCATTTTTCAAATAAAAGAATGCTGCCACCAAATCTTATCGCTATCCATTATTTAAAAAAAATGATTTAGCAAATATAAATAATACAGAGAATATGAAAAGAAATGGATGGAAATTCTTAGCTGTCGTTAATTCTGAAAATATGCCTCTTTCAAAAATTTGTGATTCTTAAGTCATTGATTTACGAATCCAAAACACTGTATAACCAGAGGATATACTACGACAGATGTGATATTTTCAAATCAAAGTATGAGAAAGGATGTGTACGTAAGTATTCTATTAAATGTGGGCACATT